TGTGTGTGTGTGTGTGTGCGCGTGTGCGCGCGTGTGCGCGTGTGTGCGTGTGTGTGCGCGTGTGTGTGTGTGCGTGTGTGTGTGTGTGTGAAGTGTTGGACAGGGACAGAGGCAATTGAAGTGGAAACTCTGACCCAAAACAATGTAGCCATGCCTTGCCTGCCAGCGAGTGGGGAAATGAGCGCTGAGCTGTGCTCACTGTGAAAGCACCATAGAAACAAACCATATAAATTGCGGTTTCATTTCCAGTTAATTACTCTGCTGTGTCATGAGTTTAGAAAAATTTGTGAGAAGTCCAAGAGCAGAAACAAAGCTTCATCCCCACCACCTCGTGCCAACTTTCTTCAAACACTCCCTGTTTCTGTTTGCCTGTACTTGAGTGTCCCTCTTCATCACTATTTGAAATACCAAATTTCTGTCTCCGCCTCTCTTTCCAATTATCTCCCGTCTTTTATGCCTCTCTCTCTTCCCATGTCGGTCCTTAGCCAAGTCTCTGCAGGAGTTTGCAGCGGTCCTACAGAACTTGGAAGATGAGAGGACACGTATGGTGAGTGACAAACAAATTATAAGGAATATTATAGGTGGTTGATGGGAGGATGATGGGGCTGACCCCTCTAAGTCAATTATTAAAATCGACTCAGAGGGAATGTTTTTGATTTTTAGATTCTGGTAAACTGAGAAATTGTCAGTTAATTAGTTTCTATATTTTCTTACACCCTTAATTCCTAGAAAGTGATGTCTTGCATCATATAATATTCACAAATAGGCTTGTCTGTGTGTGTCTGTGTGTGCCCCCAGATCGAGAATGCCAATGATGTGCTGATTATGCCTCTGGAGCGGTTCAGGAAAGAACAGATCAGTGCAGCCAAGGTAAGGAGGCAACACTGCACAGACACAGGACTGGTAACAGTCGCTACACATGTACTGTGCATCAGTACTGACATGCTGGCAGGAAAAAACATAAATCAGTAAATCAATAATATCCTTTCAGTGCTTCTGCAGCTTCTAGAAGGACACTGGCAGACGTAGTGCCACCTAAAACACAGTTGATAATAATATGCAGTAGGTTTTAGTTAAATGTGATATTAATATGTATTTGTATATTGGACTGTTGGGCAGTGACAAATATTGGTATTTATAAGCTGTTTTACAAAAGCTTCAAATGCGATTCATTCAATCTGATTTTGAGCTCTGCTTTATAATGACGACTGTTCAGTAAAGATCTCAACCCTCCGGCTGTTTTTAATTGATGTGCAACCTTTGACACTTTAATGGAGGACTGGCAGAGGGACACTAGCACCTCTGCATCACCACCATTTGTAAAACTATTGTCACAAATTAAAGTTCCAGTGAGATCCATCTCAATGCAGGATAATTACAGTATTTCCCTAAGAGGTAATAGGGATGTTCAATATAATGTGATATAAAGCATATTGCCAAATCATTTTGGAATACTTTTAAAACACCTTCTTTTTTTTTACATTGAGTGATCACATATATATACACACTGATTGAAGAATTATAGTGTATTTGACTGAAAACTTTACTAGATGCAAAAATTTGCTATAAAGTATAGCATCTAATGTCATGGTATGACATTTTGCCAATACTGCATACCTGTAAGTGTTAACTTGTGAATTTCACCATCTCAGTTGCCACACATTGTTCCTGCATCGACAAAGTTTGTTAAAAAATCCTGTTAAGACAGACTTGTAATAAAAAGCTTATGTGTAAATACTTTCACGTAATTTTGATGGCATGTCTCGGGGTCTCCCTTCTCTCCATGAATGATTGTCCATGACTGTCTATCAAGGTCTCAGCAACCACTACATGACCTGGATTGGAGATTAGAGGAATTCATAATCCTGCCCTAAATCACTGGTTTCCAGTTGGGTGGGGGCGTCTCATAGGCCGGCAGAACTCCCTCATGTCATAGTGTTGTTGTTATAGTGTTTCAGTGGGTATAAATCTTCAACTGAATGTACAAGAGAGTATGGAAACATGGTACATGAAAAAGTAAGCAAGCAGTAAACAGGAGAATGTTAACTCAAGATTTTACTATATAAATATTATGCCCATTTGATTTTCTTTGCACTGTAGACTTTTAACAACAAATTCTACAATATTTCCAGTTAAAGGATAAGTATTATACTATATTTTGATAATCCCTTGCCCCATGTTTTAAATCTCCTCACAGCAGGTCATGGTGCACTTGCTCTGTGTAGTCATTAGCCATAGGATCTAGATGAGTAGCCACAGGGGTTCCCCCAATACATGCAGTATTGAATGTGTTATTAGTGTATACTCTGCTTATCCATCCCCTTATAGCAGGTCATGGTTTGATTGTGACATGGTGGCCAGATTAAGAAGTGAACGCATTATCTGTGTGGTTAAGTCACCATGAGCGATGTTCTAATCCCAGTTTAGCCCTAAAAGAACTGACAAATCTTCGCCAGGCGCAGTTTCACCTTGTCCTAAAGCTCCGGAGCTGGCAGCACTCTGACACAGGAGGAGTCGAAACAGTTTATTTAAAGAGAACCCTAGCCCAGGTTCTAATCATATTCACAGTGGAATTCGCACAAATTAAATTGTGGCAGATGTCTCAAAAAACGCGTTGCATAAGTAACTAAATTCCTTCAACATGCACAGCAAGCATAAATAGCACAACACTGCTTTTAAGACCGACATGAGGCTGGCACTCCTGCACTCTGAAGGGCATAAAGCTGCTAGTGTGAGGCCCATGTAAAACAAACAAATACATCAGTCTTGCAATAACAATAGGAACCTTTCTGAATGAACGCATTCAGTATAAAGTCTTCGGAAAAGATCTACTGCTGCACTGATTTTGGAAAGGTGTTATTTATGTCATGAATTAGATCCAGTCGTAAAGAACTGCCTACATAAACACACACATGAGCAAAATGTATGATTTATATTATCATTTATTTACTTACTCTGTTCATTTAGTGTGGTTAGATATGGAAATGATATTCTGATTTTGTCTTTTTGGTGATAAATATGTGCATTAGTATTCCTTCTATGAATTTAAGTTTGAATAACAACTTATTTAGGTTGACACATTTACAGTTTGACAAATGGAAGTGATCAGAGTATCTCAGTCAGCGATGCGTGAGTGTTTCTATCCATTTAAAGGAACAGAAGATGCTGATTCTGTTAAGGATATTTTTAATTTCTTTTACTGTCAGTGAAAAAAAAGCGCCAATAAATGGAATGTTTATAAAAAGTTTCATGCCATGTGCTGTAGGCAGAAACAGGCAGGGAGTGATGATGTATTGGTTGGCTTCATGTTTCAGTGGGACCCCACTAGTAATTGTTGACATGACGGAGCAGCGGAGTGTAGAGTCAAACTTAATTGTAGCTGTGATGAGTCACTCTGGTGGCAGAGCATGATCCTGTATCAAAACATTTCATTCACTTTACTCTTCTGGAAAAAGAAAAGAAAAATCACCAGTTAGCAGTCACACTGGGATGAGATTGCCATCTGCTGGCCGAGGATGGAAATAACTAGTAAAGTAAACCAATTTAAATGCCTCTTTTTCATGAGATTTGGTTAAAAAAAAACAATGATTCATAATTGATATTTGTGCCAGGTGTGCAATTTGTAAATTGCTCTCAGACATTCAGGCTTCCTTCTGTTGATTATGTAAAATGTATTTTTAGTTAAAATTATGTAATGAAACCCCTAACGAGGGACACACAGGAGATGGTTGCAGCAACAGTCATTTCAGACATGATTTCCTCAGTGAATATGAAAAAATGAAAGAGGCAGATTTAAACAGAGGCCTTGTTGTTTCGGGGAACGTTCATCATCTCTGATGCATTCTGCAGCTGCTGTCTGTTCCTCCTCTGGCCCTGAGGACTCTTCTTGCTGTCTTCAGCTTGGCTATGAAACACCTGTGTCATGTGACTGCAACCGAGGTTGACATCATGGGATTGTCAGAGTTCAGACTGATGAGGCACTATTTTGTTGTTTTCACTGATCTTATCGATATCTTTAGAGTTGGGATTCACACAAATACACAAAGACTGGTTAATACGGCAAAGTACAGTCATCACCGGTGAAGGCAATTCATCACATTGATGTAAATCCTGTAAATCCCAAAATACCATAAAAAAGTGCTGCTCATTAGGCACTTTACAAAACCACAGATATTAAAGATAGCTTCCATGGTTGACAAATGTGCATTACAGTACACACTATATTGGCATATTTACCAACCCCATATTCTGGCATCAGTGAAGTTAAAGGTCCAGTGTGTAACAACCAGTGGGCTGTAATGGCAGAAATGGAATATGATATTCATAGGCATGTTTTCCTTAGTGTATAATCACCTGAATATAGTAATTGTTGTGCTTTTGTTACCTTAGAATGAACCATTTTTATCTACAGACGCCATGGGTCCGCCACGTTTTGAACATTGGCTGTAGATAGGGCATTTTATGTTTTTTGTGGGTTTTGGGCACCATAGTTTCAAACACACTTCACAGCCCATTCTCATTGCCAGGTCATCAGATATAGACGCGAGCTGTGTCCAGTTATCTGCAACTTCGCTGCTAGATGCCAGTAAATCCCACAAACTGGTCCTTTTAAGATGGAGCCATGTTTTCGAGTTTCTTTGTGATGTTCCAGCCCGGTCATGTTATGAATCTGGGATAAAGAAATGAAATAACGTTAACAGGCCGGGGCAGATGTACAGTAATAACACCCCAGGGCCTCTCTGACAGAGCAAGACCCACCCTGATCTGCCCCTGCTCTGTTTATGTGTTCACTCCTCCTCTCATTTTCCCTCTCTCTCCCTCTTTACTGATATCCATATGTCTCCTTTCAACTGGCTTGAATTACATTAAAGTTTAATGATCCTAACGTGACAACAATTAGAATACGGTCAGAAGAAATCAGCTGGCAAGTGGGAATTTTTTTTTCTTTGATCTTCTTGGACACTTTTCGAGTTTGTCTCAGTATTTTTCAGTCCAGCAGAAACACACGCCCTTCTCTATCTGTCCCTGGTTTATCGTCCATCTATCTGTCAGTCTCATAAGTCAATGATCTCAGCTCTGATGAAACAGTCTGTTGTTTAATAAGCAGCTGTGTTCTCCAGAGGACTCCATGAAAAATGGAAAATATTATGTAAAAGCTATGTAAAAACATTGAGTCAGTTTTTGTCCAGCTACACAAGGGGTCTCACTAATCAAATTACTTGCAAAAACCATGTCAATATGATGAGGAAAAAATAAACGTTTGGTCTATTAACGCCGCACAAGTCCCACAGGAGTTGAGTTATATAAAAAGAAGCTAGATCTGTAACTCAAATAAAAGTTTTAATCTTTTAGTTTTTGTTGTATCTGTTACAGGAAGCCAAGAAAAAATATGACAAAGAGACAGAGAAGTATTGTGCAGTGCTTGAGAAGCACCTCAGCCTTTCAGCGAGGAAGAAAGAGTCACATCTACATGAGGTAAAATGTTGTGTCTTTGTTTACAGCTTGATTCGTGGTATTATGTGTGATATGTTTTTTTCCACGAATATCAATTTTCTTAATTTCCTTCCCCGTTGCAGGCGGATAACCAGGTAGATAATGTACGGCAGCATTTCTACGAGGTTTCTCTGGAGTACGTCTTCAAGGTGCAGGAGGTCCAAGAGAGGAAGATGTTTGACTTTGTGGAGCCTGTAAGATGACGACTTTTATGTCATTTTTAAACTCTTGGCAAACAGCATTTTTTTTAGGTTTTGGTCCCTTGCTCAAGGGCACCTCAGTGGTAGTTACTGAGGAAATAAAGACACACACCCCTGACTTTTAACTCTGTAGTAAAGTAAGTCTAATTCATCGTCTCTGTTTTAGGTTTTGTGTTTTAAAATATTAAATTTTGGCTTTGTTGCAACATTATATTTCAGAATTGGTAATTTTTTTGGCATATATACAGGTCATAGTTACAAACTCTCCTAACTTCTTGTTCTATGAATCTGGTAAAATAAATATCTCCTCTTCACCTTGTTCACTAACCCACCTGTGTTTTGTCTTCCTTCTTTTACACTTTTTTCTCACTTCCTCCAAATCCTCAACCTTCTCTCCTTTCTTTCTTACACCTTTTTGTTATCTTTATCCACTCGGTTTCTTCCTTTATCTACATCTCTTCCCTCAGCTGTTGGCCTTTCTCCAAGGCCTGTTCACCTACTATCACCATGGCTATGAGCTGGCAAAGGACTTCAACCATTTCAAGACTGATCTCACCATCAGCATACAGAATGTAAGGTCACACATAAACAGAGCACAAGATCACATAATAACCTTGAGCAGTGCACGTAAATGTAGATTTATGCAGTAAAAAAATCTAAAACATGGAAGTTCTGAAAAAGCATGTTTTTATTTGTTTTTAAAAAACAGAAGCTTGAATTTTCAGGAGTTGTAGCAATGAGCATTCCTTGTTTTTTCCGTAATTAAAATGTACTTCTCACTTTGCTGAAGAATAGGTTGTCATGTGCTGCTGTTGCAACTAAAGCTTCCTCGGTATCAGACTGACAGGCCTAAGGCATGTGCACCTGTGTCCTTGTGTTGACAGACGAGGAACCGATTTGAGAGCACGCGGTCGGAGGTGGAGTGTCTGATGAGGAAGATGAAGGAGAACCCACATGAACACAAGAGTGTCAGCCAGCATACCATGGAGGGATACCTGTTTGTACAGGAGAAGCGTATGTATTAGCACATGTTACATGTGTATGTACATGTTAGATCTTCTTGAGGGCATAATTCAGGAACAATTTACAGTCTTGCAGCATCCATGGAAACATGAATGAGTAGGCAGGTGGGAGGGTGTGTGTAGGCACAGTACGTGCATGTTGGGGGCATGTTGTTTGGCTCACACACACACAGACACACACACACACATTGTCAAGAACAGCAGAACAAACAAACCATAATGAACCTTTGGTTGACGAAGTCAAGTCTGATCTGTTGGAGACGTGACAGCAGCTCTGACCGCGTGCGGTTACCATGGTAACTAAAGCAGGCATGACTAAGACTCATCCTTTTTTTCTTTTGCTTTAACCCCGTCTCCCCCTCCTCCTGCCTCTGTCTCTGTTCTTCTCTGACCATTTGACATCACTGTTTTCTCTGTGTTTTTGTTTTTAACCTTCCCTCTCTTCATTTGTCTCCTCTTTCTCTCCCTCAGGCTCATTTGTATCTACCTGGGTGAAGTACTACTGTACGTACCATCGTGAGCCCAAGAGGGTCACCATGGTCCTGTTTGACCCTAAATCAGGAGGGAAAATGGTGAGTAGCTTTGGCTACATAGATAAGGTTACAATAACACTAAACATCCAGGATATCCATCTGTCTAGCTTTCTATATTTATATCTATATGTCTATATGTAACAAAACATGATACTTACATAGATCTTTATAGCAGTAGAAACGTACATAGTCAAGTCACACAATATTCCAGACACACAGACACCCTCATATGCAGACACAAACACACAGACACACACCTATTTTGCGTGTCACTTCAGCCTATTATCATGTTGTCTGATTTGCAGTTGGTTCTCATCCAGTTCATCCCAGTGGGCAGCTCTCCAACTCTCATTAACACACTCAGCTCACGGTTGAGCACAACAAGCTCTCAGTGTGTGTTCGGGTATATTTCCCAATACGTAACACAATGTCAAGAGATTTTTTTAAGGGAAGCTACAGTGAAGTTTGGAGAGCGGAAAACTGTTTTTGAATGATCAACCGAAAATGTCAGGTTCTGCGTCAGTCCTTCAGTATCGAGGCGATAAGCGTTTGTGACGCAAGGCACCGTTTTACACTGGTGTACAGTCATACAGGGAGAGAGCGATAACAGTTTCTCCCATAACAGCATCCTCAATAGATCTGAGTGATTAGATGTTGTGAGTAAGCAGCATGACTTTGTGTGTTATCACCCTCTCCACCTACATGCAGAATAACCCAAAGCGGATGCAAGCTCGGGCCTGTTCTCTAAAGGAGCAGTACTGAAGTAAAAGTAGACACACAACATATGAGACAGCAAGAACATAACACATCATCAGACCTAGGCTTGTTAATGTTTTATAGAAAGAGAACCTGTCTTAAATGTTTTGTATGTATGTTGAATGTGTATGAAGTGGGAGTATACATATGCTGCCTTATCACACAGTATCTTTATATAAAAAAAAATCTAAATAAAATGGATTCAAAAAAATCTAAATAAAATGGATTAAAAAAATCAAAACAAAACAAATAAATGAACACACGTCTTATGAAAGATGGGCTCAGTTTTGTTTCTGTCTTCTGGGGCTATAACATGCACATGGTGAATATCACTCAACATTAGTTAAAATATGGGGACTTGGTCTTTTTTTTCTCCTTTATAGTGAATGTTTGTGTTCATGTTAGTAAAGTATTATGAGGGACAGAAATTTTAAATATTGCCTCAAAATGAATTGAACCTGTGACTTAGTGTCTCATGAACGACAGGGTTCAGTTTGTGATGAGATAATGCTCAAATCCTTTTAAGTGCTTATATAACTCCAAGATGGCACGGTAACACCACATCTCTTAGTACCTATTTATAGATATTTTTCAGTTGGAAGCTCTTTTCTTGTTTGTCAGTTCCTGCAGAGATTTGTGTCGTTGCCCACCTCACACTTAAAGTGTTATCCTCTCAATGTGCTTCCAATTGAAAGTTAAACAAGTTGGAAACGTTGTCTGTTTCAGTCGCTCTCCAACATGAAAAATTGAAATTGTACCAAAAAATGACCTCCAGTTGTTTCAGGATGTGTCTCTTCTTACTGTGTGATACCAGTAGGTTTGCCTCTCATCTTGATGCACTTGTGCCTAAATAAAAATTATATTTAAATACTTCTTTTACACTCTTCATCAGGGAGAAGAAGAGAGCTTCATGCTCAAGTCCTGCACCAGGAGAAAGACTGACTCAATAGAAAAGAGGTTTTGTTTTGATGTGGAGGCTGTTGACAGGTGAGTGAGTGTGTGTGTTTGATTGCATGTTTTTTCCTGTACAAACTGGTTCCCTTTCACATTACTTTATCTCACTTTATCGCTTATTCAAGTTGCAAACTGTACCCCATGTGTGTGTAATGCAACAGCAGTGCTTTCCTGTGTCTATTTTTAAGGCATTTTACTTGCAGCTTTTCCATCGTTTCCATTGTCACATCTCCAGAATATTGTGGAAGGAAAAATCAGGCAGTTATAGAAAAGTCATGGAAGCATCACCAATCAATGTTTTTTTTTTTTTGTATGTGGTGTAATTACACCTAACAGACACATGGGGGTGCTCAGTTAATTCATGGCTGTTTGTCCTCACAGGCTCAGCCCCTTGCTGTGTTTCACTTCCTACACTCCTCCTCCTCCTTCCTCCTTTTCCCTCTGCCCTCCTTGCCTACTCCTCCTCAACTTCAACCTTCCCCCATCAAATCCAGTCACCTTGTCATCATCTCATCCTCTATGTTTCCCGTTCCCCCATTGTGCCTTTATTTATATTCTTACTGTTTGGTACGCATCTGTTGGTGTGTGTTTGTTTGTCTCTAAAGTGGTTTGCTCTAATGGGTTGTTTACACACAAATTTTGTGTGGTTGTTGCACAGACTACCATAAATACATTTAATGATGTAATTTTCACGTGTGTTGCTTTGCGTGTATTTCTGTGTAACTGTCCACCGGGGTACAGAATGTGGCTGTACATTCAGTACATAAGTGTGTATGGATGAGTGTGATTGTATGCTGGGTGGTGTGTCATGATTGAAGGACAGTGTGTAGATCAGTGTGCGTGAGGGAGGTTGTAGTGCTGCAGTGGTGACAGTTGAAGGTGAGTGCGCTGCCTGAGTGACAGACTGTATAAAACCTATAAAAAACTGGAATGGACTTGACTCACTGTGTGTGGGTGTGTGTGGGTGTGTGCGCATGCTCACACTAAAGGTTTACTATATCAGGGTAATATATCTTAGTTGCTTTAGTTGAATTAATCATCATGTGTCATGAGTATGAGAAGTATGAGATTTTATGCAGAGATCTTTTGTAAACAACTGTGTCATTTGATGAGTAGCAGTGGTATTTTTACTTATTTAATACTGAATTGTGTTTTTGTGTGAAGGCCGGGAGTGATCACTATGCAGGCACTGTCAGAAGAAGACCGCAGGTTGTGGATGGAGGCCATGGATGGGAGAGAACCGGTAGGTTACCATGGTTACGAGAGAGACAGAGAGAGAGAGAGAGAGAGACAGAGACAGAGAGAGACAGAGCTACAAATGCATTTTATCAGCACTATGAAGGTGTCAAACGTGATTGCTCACAGAGCGATAACAAAACTAACTAATGTAATATAATCTGTGAGGTTTTTGGTGAAAGTGACTTACAACAGCCACATAACTTATAAATTACACAGGCAAATTCAAACCATGTTACTAACCTTTCTGACTTCATAGGGGTCTGGTAGCTCAATTTGTTTACAAGGACCAGGGCTATTGATATGTGGATTGACAGCGTGACAGAGCAATTGGTTGTTATGTAAGCCTCACTTAAACAGTTAATGAGGAAGGAAGGAAACGCAACACTTTTCTCCAATCTTTTTGTTGTGAAATACTTGGCAGTTTAGCTACTTTAGGCCTCTTACACTAAAACAATCTGAGGAGCTTAGATTGGGAAAGTCAGTGTTTGGTGCTGCTGTTCACAACTTCTGTCATACAGTATGCAACCTGTGATGAGGACTTGCAAGTAGACACTGTTTCAAGAGGCACAAGCCAAAAAAGTTTGTGAACCACTGACATGAAGCCATTAACCCATAGATAATGTTGTTGTTTATTTTCCTATTTGGAAAGTTGACTGACAGCCAGGCTCCACAACACTGGGGTTTATATCATCTTAATATACAGCATCAACCCAAGGCTGGAAGTGTGTGTTAGTGCTGCTTTCCACACTCTGCACGCCATTTAGGCAAGTTCATGTCCCAACACCTCCCTCATCCTCATGTCTACATTCAAACGTTCAAAGGTAATTAGTATCCATAAATCCACTGCAAGCTTGAACAAGCAGTTGCTTAGCTCAGGCGATCTGTACTAAAACACATAATGTTCATGTTTCACTTAAGCTCATCAGGCTTCCCTCTTCTGTGGCTGCTGCTGTACCTCACCATGATAATCAATACAAACTTGCCATTGATGTACAGTTCATCCTGTGTGAGCCACAATGGGGTGGATTTGAACATAAAGACACACTGTCACAGACAGTTATATTTACAGTATTTCATAGTCAGGTTATTGTTATTTTAATGTAAAAATAATTTTATTCTAACTTGCACGTTTTGAAGTGCTTTTTAAATTAATCTCAGGTATAAATGTATGCACAGAGCCCTAACCTAGCCAAAATATTCTCACCATTGCCATGGAAACTGAATTTATGCAGATTGCAACAATACATGTGACATTTGTTTATGTAACTCAATATCCTGATATACCCCAGGTAATGTATTAAGGTTTCTCATAATTGAAATGTGCAGCATTTGCTAACAAGCATTCAAAGCATAATAGGCACATGTAGCAGCACAACAGAATATAATGGGGGTGAGTTTGATTTGTTTTTTTGTTTGAAATGTTGACTACTAATGTAATGTACAAATATCTCCTGCCCTCATTAGTTGTAAATCATGTTCTAGCTAAAGGAGTTGATGTGTTTTTTTATTTTTATTTGCAGGTCTACAATCTGAACAAAGACAATCAGGCTGAAGGCAGTAAGTAGCTTTAATTGGTATCAATTACTTTTATTTATTTTATTTCAGTGGCATTGGATTGTTTAGTATTATCATCTGACTTTCTGTATTAGCAGGGTTAGATGCATTTATATATATATATATATTCAAAATGCTATGTTTTGATTTGGCCTTACAATATGGTTTTAATTCAGTATCTCTAAATCATATGGCTTTCTAATGTCGCCAAAAGTAATTCTAACTCTGTCTAATTTGACTGTGACGGCTCACACTCTTTCTTTCTGTCTCTCTCTCCATCAGTGGCCCAGCTGGATGTGATCGGGTTCAACGTGATGAAAAAATTCATCTACGCAGTAGAGACTCGAGGTACAGCGTGCAGTTCTTTTATTCCCTTTGTTCTGTGGATTTCCTGCTTCTTAAGTGTGATACACTGTACATTTGAGTTAGATTTAGTTCAGATGTGTTTTTTCCCACCACAATGGTACACAGTTTTTGCGTGGACTAAGAAATAACCTCTCCTCTCCTTGCACCTCCCTTTAGGTATCAATGAGCAGGGCTTGTACAGGATAGTTGGCGTCAGCTCCAGAGTACAAAAACTACTGAGCCTCGCTATGGGTAAACACAGAAACACACATATTTAGTCAACACTGAAAAAAGAATATATTTTCTTGTCTTTTTTTTTTTAAATCTTCATATTTTTTCCATCAGATCCTAAGACATGTGCTGACGTGGAGCTGGAAAACCCGGAGTGGGAGATTAAGACTATCACAAGTGCTATCAAGCACTATCTCAGGTTTGTATGGAAAAAGGCTTACATAAGTGCATATTCAAGCTAGAAAACCCCTTCAGACCCTGTGTCCATTACAATGGACGTCACATGACAGGGGCTTTTTTTTACGTTTTGCAACATTTAACACCACTTGAACCCTCAAGTCTATTGAATTGGACGTTTAACAACCAATCAAACGGCAGTATAGCTTTGCTTGTTGACATGAAAAAAATCCACCACACGGAAGAGAGGCATGGCAGGGCTTCACCCCACACGTCGAAGTAAGGATCATTTTCAACAGT